GGCTATTTTTTGGTTGCAGCCGTCATTGTTGTTTGGCGGGTCCGGGCTGGGGATTCGAACCTGCCACCTTAGGTGTACATGGCTGGCGCCTTAGCGTATTTACTTTCTTTTCTTTTGCTTCACTTCTCTTTCTCCCTCACTCTTGCCCTGGGATTGTTTTTCCCAGAACGATTTAGCATGGACAGCACGCCTCGGGTTCTATTTTATAGGGTATCTGGGCTAAGATAAGAGAACTCCAGAAATGCAGTGACTGGGTCAAAGGTGATTTTGTTTTTGTTTGTTGAAAGCCACAGAAATGGCTTACGGTAAAAAGGCCAGATAATTTTTTAGAAGGATGTAATTCAAAGAAAGAAAATACCAAGCAAATGCACAGAATCAATGGGAACCAGGGGGAAGTCTGCTAATCTGTATAACAGAACTATGGGATGGTATTTGTGGTACTGGTTGAACATCTTTAATATGAAAATCTGAAATCCAAAATGCTCCAAAGTCCCAAACTTTTTGAGTGCTGACATTATGCTGCAGTAGAAAATTGACCTTGTGTAATAGTTCATACATATTATTAAAAATATTCTATAAAATTAACATTAGGCTACGTGCCTAAGGTGTATATGAAACATAAATGAATTTCATATTTAGATTGGGGTTGTATTCCCAAGATATCTCATTACGATTATGCAAATATTCTAAAAATCTAAAAAAAGCTGAAATCTGAAACATTTATGGTCCCAAGCATTTTTTTTTTAATACTCCTTCTTTCAGGAGCTGCAACCTAATTTCCTTCTGGTTGAGAGTGGGCTGTATTTAGTGACTTACTTCTAATGAATAAAAGTGCCACAAATGATGGTGTGTGAATTCTGAGGCTAGACCATAGAAAACGTGGCTTCACCTTGTTCCTTCTTTGATCACTTGCTATGGGCAGTCTTGCTGTTGCAACATCACAGAGACAGTCAAGCAATCCCATGGAGAGGTCTAAGTATTAAAGAACTGAATCTTCCTGCCGCCAGCCATGGGAGTAGCCCACCTTGGAAACAGTCTACCCCAAGCCAGGACTGCCAGCTAGGAAGCTCCAGAATTCAAGACTCACAAAAACTATGGGATAATAAATGTGTGTCATTTTGGGATGGGTTTTTTCTTTTTTTTTTTTTTGGTTTTTTTTTTGCCCTGGGTATTGTGCCATGGTATTGTAGCTCACAGCAACCTCAAACTCCTGAGCTTAAGTTATCCTTTTGCTTCAGCCTCCCTAGTAGCTGGGACTACCCACCACAATGCCTGGTTAGTTTTTCTATTTTTAGTAGAGACAGGGTCTCCTTGCTCTTGCTCGAACTCCTGAGCTCAAGTGATCCATACATCTCAGCCTCCCAGAATGCTAGGATTACAGTCATGAGCCACTGTGCTTGGCCAGTGTTTGTCATTTTAAGCCTTTAAGGTTTTTTTTTTTTTTTTTTTTTTTTG